TAGGAACGCATTGATTGATTTCCAATGCATTCCTATGGGAAACCGTGCTTCGCAAGACGAAAAACTCGCAAGAAGAAAAAACTTGCGGAACGAATTAATTTCGTCTTGCGAGGCACCACTGTATTTTAACCAGCTCAAATGTATTCCTGGGCTTGTACAGGTGTTGTTTTAGCCAGCTTGTGTGACTTTTTCACTTAAAACCTGATGTCAGATTTCCAATTTGATGTATGCTGTTTAAAAAAAACCCTAAAGGCATTGAAGTATTGCTGCTAAAAGTACTAGTCAGTTTTGACATGTTAACATGGTAAACAGTTCACAATGTGGATATTTAATCCTTAGTATATACCACATACTTGCCCTTCTCTAAAGCTAATCTTTAAAACACAGCTTAGTGCCCAAAATCTAAACAGTAGGTTTAGCATTGAATGTTGATGTTTATGAATGGCATTCATTCAGTGGTATGTGTAATAGGGTGGCATGAATGCTTAACATAAATATAGTGGTTCAACTTTGTCACCTAAACAGCTGTATTTTTGCTTTTCTTTTAAGATATTGAATATAAACATGTGTGCTCAGTATTATTTGACATCTTGGAGTGAGTACTCTAAACAGCTTCACAACAATAGGTGTTGCTGATTAGTAGTGTAGTTGCTTAGACAGAGTCGCAAGTGTGCTGGTAGTTTAAATTTCAATGCTATCTTACAAACTGAAGAATACACAGGATCCTTTTACTACTCCTGATAATCTTGCACTGGAAAACAATTTATATTGGGTTTAACCAACATTAGCTGTACTAACGTTGGCTAGATACGCCTAATTTCATTACATTAATTTCAATGAGTAAAACATGGATACAATCTACTGGTGGTCTCAGGGAAGTATTAGTTGATTTTCAAGGCAGTATCCAATGAAGTAGTTCTGTTTGACTTAGGGCAAGGACTTTTGGCTGTGCAACAAAACTTCCCCTTCCTTCCATCTTCCCATGTGCACCTTAAACCTCTTCTGGGGTTTCCCTTCAACTCTCCAGAGCAGATTAGGGGAGGAGGCATGGGGTTGGGGGGTGAGAGGAGAAATAAAGAAAGTTCTATTGTGCAAGTGAAAATTCTCAAGCTCACAGAATCCTCAAGCTTCGACCCTAACTTTGCTATTTTTAATTGCCAAAGAATTGTGTTTGCAAAGTGAATGCACTTCATCTCATGCACAGCAGAAAAGGGGTTGCCAACTTCTGCAGCTGCAACTTCTTCGTGCTGAGCGATAACAGTTTAATAATGAAAACTTATCTCCCTTAATTTCAGGATCACCAGCCTTTTGCAAATGCTCACGATGTGCTGGCTCGCTCCCGAAGCCGAGCCAACATGCTGAACAAAGTGGAGTATGCCCAGCAACGGTGGAAGCGCCAAGTCCAAGAACAGCGCAAATCTGTGTTTGACCGTCATGTTGTGCTCAGTTAATAAGTAGAGTAATTATCACCAAATCGTGTTGGAGGAAAATTAATGGACGAAAGGAAAGTGCCAGATTGTTTTCCTGGTGTTCCACTTCATCGGAAGACCATTTTTGCTCGTTAGCAGCAAAGGAAGCACAAACATGAGGGGAAGGAATATCTTCAAATATTTAACAAGCCAAAATCTTAGTACACCACTAAGTTGCTTTTACTAATAAAGCATAAGCTTATTATTTGTGTGCTAATTTTGACATTGAGAGATGATTCACTATGTTTCTTAAATGCAAGTTTCCCTAATATCTATTTGAAGAAATGAGACGGTGTGCCACATTTCTGCTACAAGTGACTTTACATATTGAACTTTTATATATGTATATTTGTTCTTTTCTAACTGTCTGATGCTGTGTATCAAAAACCTGGGTCTTTCAGTATAGCTGTTGCATCTAAAACTGGCTGGTTGTATGCATTTTATTGCTTGCACCTCTGCAACTGTAAGACAGGGAACTCTAGAGACTTGAAGTGCTGTGTAAATGAAACAATGTAGAACAGAACAGGAAGTGTTGGACCTCCTCGGTTGCTTGCTAAGTGTCTACAATGTGATATCTAAATTTATTCATCTAAATCTTAATAGTTGGTGGATGATAAGAATCTTTAAAAATTAGCTGGATAACAGAATGCGAATAAATTATTCAGAATCTTCTCTTGTCCTGGGAGTTAGTTATACTTGGAAAAATTATTTTGCTTCCATAAAATTTGTCAAGTGAAGCATTTAAAAATGAAATACCATGTGGAATCCATCTGGGTATTTCAGTCATCAGGTCAATGCATTTGAAGGCATTCATAGTTTTAAGGCTGGAATTGGCTAATTTTAAGTTTTTTTGGGATTTGCAGGCAACTCCCCCCCCCCAAGTGCAACAAACAGACAGCTGTTAGCCATCTGGGCCCTCTGGAACAATTACTGTCCAAGCAGCATTTCTGTTGTGGGAATATTTCAGTTTTCCAGAAGCAATATATTGATGTTTGAAAAGGCAATCTCCCCTGCACCAAGCTAGTGTGCTTATTGCAGTTGTGGCTGCTTTGTACCTCTGCAAATAGTATCCACAGTTTCCATAACTGATATACTTCCCCTGTGCCCCAAACTTACACAGGTTGCTGAACTTCTTTATTGTGTGTTTCTGTGTTTTCGCTTTAGACGCTGAAAATCCTTTTAATGTCCCACAGCAGCATAGGAATGCTCATCTTGTCCTTCAGCAAGAACAAAAATGAATCCATTGCAGTGCTATGTATCCCCCCCCTACAGCTGTGCTCAACCATTTCAAAACCATTGTGCTTTCTTTCTTTTTGGCTATGAGCATTCATCTTGATTGGTCATTAATTTGAAGAGAACAAGGAAAGATTTCTTTGTCAGAGCAATACTTTCAAAATGCATTTGAAGCCATGCTGTAATTACAACACTTGTGGGGTGTGTACCCAAGTCTTGATTTGACCAAAGCCTGTTATTATTCCTTCATCCTAAGGTAGTGTGTTTAAACCTGGTTTGTTTTGTCAGTGTGAGGACTTGAAGGTTTGGTTTGGTGGTGGTAATTTAAGTACATAGCCAACTAAGGGGCCTAGCCAATGTTCGTCATTAATGTAAGTAAACCCATTGATGTCACTGGACTTAATTCCATTGATTTCAAAGAGTCTATGCGGAATATAACCTAGATTCAGTTGCAATTCTATAGACGTCTGCTCAGAATTAAGTCTTGCTGAGTTCAATGAGGCCTCCCAGATAAGGGGCCATAGAATTGCAACCCTAATTCTCTTGGGCCTAAACATACTTGGCAAAAACAAGTTTTCTCCCAAAAACCTAAGCTGTGATCAAATTTGCATTTGTGCAATGGTACTTTTAACCACCTCCTTTCATTTTGTAGCCTCTGGTGCTCCCTAAAAAGCAGCATTATTTTTAGACTGCTTTTCTGACTGAAAGCCCTTAAAGCAGCTTACAACAATGAAAGCAAAATAAATCGCCCCATTACAATTACTGAAAACATAATGCAGCAGAGTATAATAGTGACTGTAGTACCGCAGTAAGGCAAAATAGTCAGGGCAACATGAATTCCTCAGTGCCAAAGGCCCAGCTAAATAAAATACTGGCCACAGTGCCAGTAACACAATAGGTGGACACTTTGCATGGGAAATGGCAGGCCTTAAAAGCCGTATATAGTTTAGGCCCAATATAGTTAAAGGTGTGGACCAGTATTTTGAACTCCAAAAGAACTGGGAGAAATAGGCTTCATATACGGTAATAGGCCTGTGAAAGAAGTCTGGCTGGAGCATCATGCTCCATTTGTAGTTTCCAAAACTTTTTCAGAGTTGTATGCAGATTATGTTACCGTAGTCCAGCCTTGATGTGCCCAAGGCATACAGGGCCAGCCGTATAATGAGGCATGGTGAGATACTTGCCTGGACAGCAGATCACAAAGGGTGGTTGATGCATCTCCCACCATGCTGTTTACAAGCCAGTTGGCCTTGCAGCTGCTGCCTACTCCACTATAGGTGGCCAGTCTGGCTGCTGTAGCTATTACTGCAGTATTGGCTGCTATCACCACTACTGCCTGCTCACATGCTCATAAGTTCCATTATGGTTGCCACAGGGATGCAGTTGGTTGCACTCCAAAAGGTCCCTCTGAGCTTGCTGCTGCTCTCTGAGGAAATGGAATCACATACCCAGGAAAGACTCATAACTTTCTCTACCCAGGTGGTCAAACTTGCAAGTCAAGATGGATATAGGTCAAGTGAGCAGGTGGCCATCTTAGCCTCCCCAACCCTTTTCTGCTGTACCTGCAGAACAGCAGCCCTTTGGAGGAGTCAGAATGTTTGGCCGGCCAGCCCTGCTCATGAAGAGTAAGAATTTTGACACAGCTGTGGCCGTTTTCTCTACCTCTGGTTTCCAGAGGGGAAGCCTGCCTCTGTGGAGTCTGCCATTGGTGGTGAGCTGAAAATGGCGGGCTGGACTCAGTCAGGGTGACACCAAAGGTGAGTTGTTTATTTGGGTGGGTTCTTCCTTTCAGAGGGTGATGAGGGTGAGGACACTCCCCCATGGGTGGTGACTGGTTGTGGGTGGGCTTGCTCCTAGGTGAGAGTGTGAAGCAGGTGTCTGTGTGTATGTTAACCTGGATTCCAAGTAAGGTGGACTCTGTAGAAGACAGAGTCGGGATTCAAGATAATAGAGTGGAGAACTGGGCCCAAACTAACAAAATGAATTTCAATAGGGACAAATGTATGGTTCTGCACTTAGGCAGGAAGAACCAGATGCACAAATATAGGATGGGGGACACCTGGGTTGTCAGTAGTACATGTGAAAAGTCTCTAGGGGCTTTAGTAGACCACTAGTTTAACATGAGTCAACAGTGTGATGCAGCAGCAAAAAAAGCTAATGCTATCTTGAGCTGCATCAACAGAAGTAAAGTGTCTTGATCAAGGGAAGTAATAGTACTGCTCTATTCTGTGTCCAGTTCTGGGCGCCACCATTTAAGAAGGATGTTTACAAGCTGGAACATGTGCAGAGGAGGACAACCAAGATGAGCAAGGGTCTGGAAACCAAGCTTTATGAAGAATGATTGGGTGAGTTGGGTATGTTTAGCTTGGAAAAGAGGAGACTGAGAGGAGATATGACAACCATCTTCAAATATCTAAAGGGCTTTCACAAGGAGGATGGAGCAAGCTTGTTTTCTCCTGCTCCAGAGGGTAGGATCCAAACCAATGGCTTCAAGTTACAAGAAATTCCAGTTAAACACCGGGAAGAAGTTTCTGATAGTAAGAGCTGTTTGACAATGCAGCAGACTCCCTTAGAAGGTGATGGACACTGGAAGTTTTAAAGCAGACGTTGGATGGCCATCTGTCAGGGATGCTTTAGTTGAGATTCCTGCATTTCAGGGGATTGGGCTAGATGACCCTTGGGGTCCCTTCCAACTATGATTCTAAGAAATTGGTGATGACTGGACAGTGAACTGGCCTTAACTTTTACTAAGAAATGTCAGCATTTTATGATTTCTCAGTGGCCTTCTAAAATTGGTTTGTAAATATCCACATTCACAGGCTTTTATTGTAACTATAAAGATAGTCTGAAATAAATTTGTTGAGATTTGATTTGTGTGTTTTAACACACCTGAAGAAATATGTGGGGAAAGTACTCAAGATCTAGCAAATTCTTCTACAGTGTAAATATGAACATTTATTTGATAAAAATTAGTAAATTATTACAACAACTTATGTATTGGCAGTGTATAAATATGCTTCTGTCTGAAACCATAAAAAAATCTAATACGTTACACTTTCTATCCCATAATTCTAATATTTGTTGCCTTTATAGCTGCAATGTGGGTGGAAGAAGCTAAACCAGAAAAGAGCAGATCTAACTGTAAGCTACTTTGCATATTGTCAATTGACTATAAATTTAGATCTGTCTTTTGACTCAGTCCAACAGGCACAAGAACTGTGGAACTCAGGTAAGGAATGTAAGGTAGATAGAGGCTAATAGCAAAATGTTACATGGTTTTTGTTAATATTAATCCAGATTGTTAAATTTAAATATATACTTTGTGAGCTCTAGTTTATAGAATAGATCTATAGAGAAAAGTGCTATAAGAATCAGCTTGCTAACACATAATTTCAGTGTGCAATTTTGAAGTTCAGTCCCTGCCTAATATTTTAGATTTTTCCTTGTGGTTCTGGGGATTCTTTTCCATTTCACCATAAGCAAGTCTAGGAATGAAAAACCTAGCTTTGTTTTATGATCTTGTGTTTTGTCTTAGGCACTGAGGCAAATTTCAGAAAGAATAGAGCAAATTATTTGAATTAATGAGACTTTACTTCTTAGTAAATAATTCAGTTAACTGAGGTTTCTAATTCAAGTTAAAGGTTTGGTGAATTCAGTAATCTTTCCAAATGTTAAAATGCAAAGATTAATTGACATTTTTATTATAGACAATTTTTATTATAGACAATTTACTGATTCAGCTTTTATAATGCATGATCAATAAATATGTTTCATTGATTGCTGTTTAGCAATATAAAACTCCTAGCACATTTGCAAAGCTAAGCAGTGTCTGGTATGGTTTCAAATTGGATGGGGGACCAGACACGTTGAGATTCCTGCATTGGAGGAAGTTGGACTAGATGACCCTCCACTCTACAATTCTATAATTCGGTTAAATCTTCCTTGCTCTAGATTACAGGCTGCAGACCCAATTTTTTTTGGGGGGGGGCGTTCTTCTGTACATGTGTGTGTTATGGAATTCTCTATGCTGGAGTAGGCTGGTGGGAACTGACAAGTGTGATTGTGAGGCACGGAGAGAGCCAATTTCATCCCTTACATGTTCTGAAGGTCAGTTGGTGGGTCCTGAGTCATTGCAGGAGATTGTTTGCTCTCTAAGCAACTTCCCATTAAACCCTAACCACATAGATTATATGCAATTAAATAACACGCCCGCAGTCAGAGTAATACTTTGATATTTGCTAGCAAGCTGATCCAGTAATCCCTGATAAATGGAAGAAAACAACTTCTTACACTATTGACGATTGCTTAGAATAAAAATAATGTATTGGAAGGGAGGATGAGAAACATTAATTTACCATTACCTTTCACATTATTTGCTATATTAAGTTGTTGAGTTGCTATCTTACAGAATAAAAGATACAGCATTATTTTGGCTGGAGGAGTTGGCAAATTTTGAATTCTGATGTTAGGCACAGCCTGAAAAGGAGAGTTTCTGTTAAAAGATATGGGGCACAATTTGATCAAAGTGAATACATGTAGGCCTCAATAATTTCAGTGAGAGAGTTAAGCACATTTCAAGCTTTTCCACAGACAACACCCCTCTTTCCCTGGGCTAATAATCAGCATAAGTGATAGGAATAACAAGGCACACACTGCAGAGAAAAAGAGCGGGTACAGGGAATAATGGAGAAGTTCATGTACCAGTCATTCTGACAACGGCATGTGTTTTTGCCTAGGAAAATCTGCCATGTGATTTCACATCCTCAACTGTAAAGCTAAAGAGATTTATCTAGTTGCAAGTATCTATGCTTATATTGATTATTTTAAAATATCTCCTTTGCATATGGAACACTGTATTTAAATAGGTCAGTACAACAACATTGCCGTCTCCCACATATTTGCATAATATCAGAAGTGCACTAAAAATACTGACAATCACACCTAGCCTATTGCAGTGTATGAATCACTAAAGCTGATACATAGTTCTCCATTTCTAGCTCTGTACCTGAGACACCACAGCTTGGGAAGCTTTTGGGATGCCATGGACAGATTGCCAGTCTTAAGCGACTCCCACGCTGGACAGATGTCTAGACTTGGCTGCAGGGACCTTTATGCTGCACTGCATTTCTACCCAGAGATCCCAAACCAATTCGCTGGCCCCGAAGATTTGCCTCTGCTTCCTTTCACACCAGAGCAGCTGACGGCTGAGAATTTCTACAGCGATCCTTGTGCGTTCCCATTTCAAGGTCCCTGTGGGAATTTTGGCAGATGCGAGTACTCTTGCGGCCCAGCATTCATCAGAAAAAGGAACGAAAGGGAAAGGCAGAGAGTAAAGTGTGTCAACGAAGGCTACGCCAAACTCAGACATCACCTACCTGCCGAATACCTAGAGAAACGACTCAGCAAAGTAGAAACACTCCGAGCTGCAATTAAATACATCAGGTATCTCCAATCTGTGCTTTACAATGATTCAGAGGAGAATAGCAGGGAAGCTCACCACGCACCCAAAGATAGCTCTCAAAGCGATCACGCTCCAAGGACTTCATAGTCTACTCGAGAGCAAATAAAGTCTTCTCTGGAAGCCCCAAAGACAATCCTGCCTGTTCAAAGATGCTTGTAAGACTGAACTTGCTATACAATGTGGTGATTTCAGGGCTTGTGACTGTGATGACACGAATGTTGCTAAAATGTGTGGAAGTTTCAAATGATTGAAATGGCTGGAATCATTTTAACAGATGGATATGAGAGATCAGTAATACGTGGTTAATTTTGGTTACAAGGGGGCGGGGGAGACCGCCAATGTGTCAACTCAAGCTGAATGCTTTAGGTTATATTTTAATAAAAAGATTCTGCTCCTTTCTGAGAACAGTAACCTCTCTCTCTTTGCTAACATTTATTTCTAAAAAAAATTATAATTTAAGTTTCTCTATAAATTGATAAATGTATAAAGTTTCTGTATAAATTCTGTTTGCACAGAATGTATAAACTGGAAACCACTTGACTGTTGTAACAGCAACAACAAAAAAGACAGTATTGTAAAAACACACTAACTTTGGAAATGCTAATATTGAGTTAATTTTATCTGGATATTTTGTTTTTTGAAATCTAAATAAAATCCTTGTTCCATGATCAAACTATATCTTAGAAGAAGTTTGTTGTATTATACGGGACACACAGTGAGAGAAAGACAATTAAGTGTCACAGCATCGATAGTGAGTGGAAGAAATGAAGCTGAGGAATGTCTATACCTCCTGTTCCTCCCTCTATTTCAAGAATATAAAGAAACTAACAAACTTACCTTAGGTTCTCTCAATTTTATTGTACTGTTCCATTGTTTACTTGAGGATTTGAGCATCATAAATATTACTGATATAGACATTCCAAGAAGGATGCTTCTTCAGTGATCTTTGAACTGCTAATCGGAGGAAAACCCCTCCCCCCAATAATATAGAACAAGCTTGAATCTTCTTATAAAGTCCTCTTTCCACATGGCTTTATTAGTAGTAATATTTATTGATATATATCATGCTTAACTGCCAAAGCGTCAATTCATAGGTGCAAATCCAATTACAAAAAATATTAATGTACAATAAAAAACATTAAAATAAAAATCTACAATTAAATTGTGCACTAAAACAAACCCATTAAAGCACAACAGTTAAAACAACTATTGAAATAGTTCTTTCAACCAAATACATGTTAATAAAGTTATTTATTTGTCACATTCAAATAAATTTCTGCAGAGTAGAAATGAGATGCTGCTCAAAGTGGACTGTGGTTGCAGCTAGCTGAATAGTTTTTATCTTTATCAATAAGCTACATTTAATAGATAATGATTTTAATTATATTTTTTAATTTGTGTGCGTGTGTTTAATGTAAACCACTCTTACGTTTTATTACAATCAAATGGTATAGAAATCTTGTGAAATAATAAAGAAACATTTTTATTGAGGAAAGGCTCTATAGTGCAGAGTGCACTGTGACTTTGAGCATTTGTTTTTTTCTTTACAGTGGTACTTCGGGTTACATATGCTTCAGGTTACATACGCATCAGGTTACAGACTCCGCTAACCCAGAAATAGTACCTTGGGTTAAGAACTTGGCTTCAGGATGGGAACAGAAATCGTGCAGCAGCGGCACAGCGGCAGCAGGAGGCCCCACTAGCTAAAGCGGTGCTTCAGGTTAAGAACAGTTTCAGGTTAAGAATAGACCTCCAGAACAAATTTAGTTCTTAACCCAAGGTACCGCTGTATTTCTTTTTATTAGACTTGAGCATTCTCTGGACAATCTTTATTTTACCCTTGTCATTTTTCTTTCTTCAGTATTTAGTGTCACTGAGTTTAGAAATAAGATGTACCTGAGAAAACATTCACAGCTGATATTCACACACTATGAATGTGTGTGTGTGTTTCACACATTCTGTACTATCAGACACAAGTTCCTGTTTGCAGTGGCTCTATAGCAACCTGCTTAGAAACAGAAAACAGCCACCAATAACACTCCTTCTCAGCAGAGAGCTGCCGTATTGTTGAAGTCAAGCCAATTGAAAGATCCCAGCATTTAGTACTGCAAGCATCTGGTGAGTTCTAATTACGTACTATTTTAGCAAATCAATGGACTGAAGAGTTTTAGGTTTGCCTCCCCCTTGCTGGTTTAGTTGGTAGATGGCTTCAATTTACTTGGTAGATTTGGGTATATATTTGGTGCTATTTGTGTTACTGTAATAGAGAAGCATTAAAAATAATATTTATTTCCAATGGATGGTAACTTAGTAAGTTCTACTGAATTCAATAGAACAGGTATGTGTGCATAAGATAGCAGCCCTACACTTGAATAAACAAATTGTTTACTGCTGTAAGTTGTTTTAAATAGTTCTTAATGTGTTTTACTGCTGCTTTGCACCTTGTGACCTTCGAATGAAGGGCAGGTAATAAAGAAATAAGAAAAAAACTACCTCACACTTCCTTCAGTATGTACAAAGATTATCTGCTATAACTTTTGGAATATGCTAATTGATTTACATGTGATATACTGTAATCAATTAATAGCAAGAAAGCAGGTGTAAATTTTATTTATTTGGTTGACAGGCCTAGTTAGAATAAAATAGAAGTGAGGCACAGATAATATAGGCCTTGATTATGCTTGAATTAGCATGTCAGCAGTATACAGTTTCCAGGTGATTTGATGTCTTAATGATTGCACAGTTGCTACATATTTTCTCAAGGGAGTCCTTCTGTTAGAGGTGAGCCCTGTCTCCAAGCCCTCAAACCTCTTTTGTTTTTGTTTTTACTCCTGGGAAATGCTAAAACAGTTAACCAACAAAATAATAAGCACATGATGAGCACTCTCAGAAACACCCATCTCCTTTTTAATGCTGACACCCATAATCAAGTCAGATTGTATCAATCTCTGAAGCGCTACAAAATCTTTTTGCCAGCATGCCTAATAAATGCCTGGCATTTACTGTCACGTTGCAAATCTTACCTTGACAGCCGCAGAGTAAATTCTCTCTTCACATGCCATTTCTCTGTATGATCATTCCCTTGTTGCAAGAAGGCAGTGATTATGAAGCACAAGAGAACACAGAACAGATCAAAATATTTTCCCACCATAATTTTGCATGATTTTAATGGAACAACTTTTTCTAAACCTATTTCAACTATGGAAGCATTACCTGAGGTGCTTTCTGAATCATGAGGTACTTTGGGAGCACAACCTATACAGTGGTACCTCGGGTTACATACAGGGACGCGGACTTATAAAAATATTGGGGGGGCCCGGGAAAGCTCATGAATAATAAATAAGCTCATGAATATGCAAATAAAGTGGCGCCGCCTCCTCGTGAGCGAATAGGGGAGAGCGTGCTGCGCCTATTAATCAGCTCCAAAGGAAATTGGGTGGAGCTTTTGCTCGGGAGGGAGGGCAGGAGGCATGCAGCCCGCCCCTCCCTGTGCATTTTGGGCTGGGGGAGGGGCGGCGATGGCGCTCTGCTGGAGGGGCGCCGGAGATTATTGGGGGGGCGGAGCCCCCCCAAACGAATTTTTGAGGGGGCTCGGGCCCCCTCAAGCCCCATGGAGTCGGCGCCTATGGTTACATACGCTTCAGGTTACATACGCTTCAGGTTACACACTCCGCTAACCCAGAAATAGTGCTTCTGGTTAAGAACTTTGCTTCAGGATGAGAACAGAAATCGGGCTCCAGTGGCGCGGTGGCAGCAGGAGGCCCCATTAGCTAAAGTGGTGTTTCAGGTTAAGAACAGTTTCAGGTTAAGAACGGACCTCCGGAACGAATTAAGTACTTAACCTGAGGTACCACTGTATAAACATTTTCCTATGTTTCTGGTTAGGTTATGGAGTGCACAAAGGGAAGCAGGGCGAATGTTTCTCTTGGCTATAACCTGTATTTGATTGCCTTATTAATAGATTTGATTTGTCTAATCCCCATACCAACCTCTAATGTGATATGCAGAGATGTGGGAAATGTTTCTGGAAAAACAGGCACATTGCAACTGACAACGGCAAACTGACCATACAGGTTGCAAAATCCTACCTACACCAATAACCCAGTTGTCCCACCAGCAATGTAGATGGTTGAGGATCATCTTGAGTAGAACCCCTGTGTTAGGTGGCTAACCCCCATTCTGGAGACCTGATCTGGCTCTCAAGCAAATCTTCCTCCCTCTGCGCCACCCCAACTCCACTGATTTTGGCAACAGCAGCAAAAAGGATACATAGTGCTGTTCTGGACAAAAAGATTTAAACTTCTCCACCAAGCTCAGAGAACTTATTTACAAACAGAGACCTATGCAAAAATGCACATCCATTCTTGTTGTTTGGTCCAAACTGTGTGGTGTGTACTTACTACTTCCACGCTACATTGGGGTTTTTTTTCTGCATTACATAAAAAGTTGCTGTATTTCATCAAAAATTCACAATACAAACCTATGCATGTCTATTCAGAAGCAACCACTGGGATATATTGCCATGTGAGCGTGTCTACAACTGCAGCTTCATTTATACTGAAGCGGTGGGTATTTTCCACACATTTTCTTGCACTTGAACTGAATTAATAATCACATAGAGATTAATTATTAATAATAATAATTATTGAATTCATATACCACCCTATACCCAGAGGTCTCAGGGCGGTTCACAGAATAAAAACCAAAAAGTCTACCAGTAGACTTTCATCTACCTTCTTCCCTTCTTCTCCCTTGCGATTCCAGGAATTGCACATTCAAACATAATCTTAAATGCTGTATTTAGCGGGGAATCCTAAATCCTTTAAAAAGAGCACAGTATTGCAACTGACAAACTGTGGTATTATTTTGTGGGATGGCAGCTAGGAAATGGAGATAGAGCTCTTTAAAATGTAAGACCATACAAATGAAGACACCAAATGGGGATTATCAAGTTATCATTGTTGATGCTGCTGCTGTTGCTAGTCCTATAGCAATGTCAAATCCCAAGCAGAACTTAGCCATTCCTCACAATTGTGCTTTTGTAAAAAGTTGGTCCAGATAAAGAATTTAATTCCTTACCAGTAGTTAGTACTTTCAAATCTATTCCCATTCAATGTAAGACGTTAGGGCCTGATTCATAACTGTTGCAGATGACATTCAGGAGAACTCTCCAAAGCTATGAGCTTGAGCAGTGGCTGCAATTATGTTATGTCATGGTGACATGTTTTCCTCCTTCAGAATACTTAATGTGCCTTATGGGGTGATTGCTTTTTTCCCCTTTTCTTTTTTGGTAGGGAAATACTTCAAAAGGAATGGATGGCTGCGCCTGGTTCTCTTTGCCGTACCACAGTCATTGCTGTGCAATGCTAGCACCAGCTAAACCTGTGCATAGCAGCTTCACAGCTAATCCCAGTTCCACCTGCACTGGTGCCATTTCAGCACATCCTGCCTGTGTTGTTAGACCGCTCATCACAACAAGGTAATAAAAAGTGTGTATGGGGGTGGGCAGACTAAAGTTGAAGAGTTCAAACAAGAGCTGCATTTTGAAATGCCAGCTCTCTCATATGCAAATTCCAATCCAGTGTTCAGTTATAGATGTTGCATTGTAGATACATCTCTGGATTTTTCAAGTGGGGCGAGGGGTATTGTTGATGCCAAAACAGGGGTACAGAAGAATAATACTCCTGAGGTAAAACTTTGGCATCTGCATCAAGGTTCTAGCTGTTGTAGATGTAGTAGCTTTTCTTGTCATGTGTAGATAAAACAAGCATTAACACTTTCTCTGTTATTTGAAGGTGTTTACATTTCGGCCACTGCCTCCATTTTCCTCCTCTTAGAGCATGTGAGGCAGTAAAAATCTTGGAGAGATCCTTGGACACTGTTGGCATTCCTGTTTTGGCAAGAAGAGAAACTGATGGTTATTATTATCCTGGCACAATAATAAAAGCTATTATAGAGGCAAGTTGCTGTATGATTTTTTTCTGGCATGTGTAGATGAGACATTAATAATTCACCCCAGAATCTTTATGGAGTCTGCTAAAGGCGTCAGATTCTGGGCAAGGGGGTATGTCAATCACAACTGCTGCATTCAACGGAAGTTGGTGTCTGCCTCATTTTGATGGAGAAAAAAAACTCTTTAATATTAGTGGCATCCTTCCCTCCTTTTACCTGCTCAATAATTGGGAATTCTGATGGATCATGAGGACCACTCTCTAGCCATTTATTGCACGGAGTTGCTACAATCTGTATTTGAAAATTGTGTCACATTACCACCAAGCTTTCAGCCCCATTTGACAACCACTTTCCCATATTTTCAGAAATTCTTAGATTTCATTTGACTTGTCTGAGGTCCATCTTGCATGAGACCTACTGCTGCCAAGGTCACAACTACACCATCCATTTACAGTACATGCTGTTCCCCTCAAAGAATCCTGGGAAATGTAGTTTATCCCTCATGGACCTACAATTCCCAGCATCCTTAACAAACTACCATTGCCAAAATTCTTAGTTTAGAGAAAGCTATGTGCTTGAAATGTGTGGTGTGGCTGTGACCCAAGTCTCTGTCCAACTTGTTGGCACAGGTTTTCTTGGGTGTGTGTTTTTTAAACATTCCTGCCAAGTGTATCTGGAGATTTATGCTGTTTGGGGACAATATCCCATCCGTTGTTATGAGTAAACGGATGGACATTATACTTGCTGGAAATGTCTTAGCGTTTTAATATATATAAACTTGACACTTTTTGTCCTCTGTACACAGGAAAAACAACCTTCAATTCATTAGTTGTTAGCACTTGAAACTTAAAAAAAATTGTTGTGCTGTTTTTGAAGTGTAAGAAAAAGGCAAGGCTGTTTATCAAAGTTTCTGGAAGACTGACAAATTTGAAATGCCTGGTATTCAGCATGTAGTGGGAGTGACTGGCAATAATATATTTTTGTTTTGTAGTGTTTGATCCCTTTCATTACACAACATGGTGGCCACTTATGCATTGCTAAAAAAAAGAGGAATTTTTTATTAAAAGGACAAAATGTGATTAGCATAAAAATTGCATATGCTTATTTATACATATAGGTGCAGATGAGGAAATACTGGGAAGAATTCAACATTGTACTATGTTGATAATACTTTCAGGACAAGCTTGCCAGACAGAACAATCCCCCTCTCCTCCCTCCTCATGCTATTATAGGGGTGCTCCCAATCCCCCCCCCGAGTCAATTTGGGGAGCACAGGCAGAACACAGGTGAGAGAGATGAGGGAAAGCCCCATTGTACAAATCTAAGTCACTGTGCAGGCTTCCACCGATGCGACTCATTAACTGAATGCCATCAGATGAATGTAACGTACAGTGGTGCCTCGCAAGACGAAAATAATTCGTTCCGCGAGTCTTTTCGTCTTGCGATGTTTTTCGTCTTGCGAAGCACGATCCGTCGCAACTGCGCCTCTTCAAGCGGCTTTAAAAAAAAAGCGCAAGACGTTTTCGTCTTGCAAAGCAAGCCCATAGGGAAATTCGTCTAGCGAAGCAACGCAAAACCGAAAAACCCTTTCATCTAGCGAGTTTTTCGTCTTGCAAGGCATTCGTCTTGCGGGGCACCACTGTAAAAATAAATTCCATATATCTCCCCGTAGTGGGGGAAACTGCGACCTATGTCCCAGCTCAGTCTTTGGTCCAGGTCCTATCTGTTGATGGCCAACTTCAAGGCTCCAGTTCTTCCTTCTAATGGTTCTTTAATCTTTAAACCAAACTTAGACCAAAGGACACTTTTAAGTAGAGGCTGCCTGTCTGTCGAGTTGCAGCTCGGCATCCAGAGGAAAATCAGTCTCACACCATGATAGGTTCCGAAATATGGCTGCTCCTAGGGCTAATGCAGCACAGCTTTTATTGTGTGAAATAAGAAAGATACAAAAATACAAGCTAAGCAATTTGTTCTAGCAAGCAGATAAAGACCTTTGTACTAGACCATGCGAGTGATCAGGCCATGCTACGTTAGCCAATCATATGGGACAGCACGAGCTGTTCACGCGCTGTTCATGCTCCAAGGATGCTTCTAGCTATGAAATCACCCTGTAACAATAAGAACTTTGCTCATGCTCTCATGTACAAGCAATCATTTTCCCACATATCCCCTTTTCTTGTTTATATTATTAGAGGAAAAGAGGGACCATTAGTCCAAATCGTACACTTCATTGCCTAAGCGTCTACACTTTGCAACATAAATTCCTCTTGTAACCCCTGTGGTGGGCCGTGGTCGGTACCACCATGCAGTGCATTGGGAAATCAAAGAGGGTATGCATTGAATGCAACAACACACCATAATGAAGCCAGCAATACATGCAATTATAATCAATAATATTTTTCTTAACCATAATCCATTAGGTAACCAAGAAGACAACCACTCCCATGGATCAAAACCTTCAGGTGGATTCAAAGGATTATGGGCTATCATTTGTTCCATATGATCAATAGTAGCAGAGATATTGGTCGATTGATCAGTTATATACATGCAGCAATGAGAATGAATTAAGGCACAAATTCCACCTTTAGAAGCAAGGATCACATCTAAAGCATAATGATGTTGAAGAACTACATTTCTTATTTCTGATATTTCTTTGTTAATCATTTTTAAAGCCAAAATGGTGGAATTAAACAAATTTTCTGTCCAGTTTGCCAATTTATGCAAATCACGGTAATTCATGGCTGCACCTAAAGAAGGCAGAAGTGGTAACATTAAAAAAAACAAGAAGATCCATTAATGTACTCATAGGTCGAATTACAATATAGATAATGACCTAAAAACTTATACGATTGTCCTGCATATTATTGCTAATCTTATATGAAGCATTTACTGGAATACCACCACCAAAACAAGCTCAAAACTTTTCAAAGCTTTTCAAAATCATTTTTCTCAGCAGCTAAAAAAAGGCAGTAGCCAAGCATAGTCCGCTTGCTGTAACTAAAAAGACTGCAACAAGGTCGAGAACAGAGTCCATTGTCTTCCAGGCCTTGCTGAAGAACCATATTGCAACTTGCTTTCTGTCCGGGAACCATGCCAAAGCACAAGAATGAAACAACTGGAACACACCGAAATTCCCCTCACCCCCTCCCTTGCCAAGAGTCCACAATAGTTCCAAGACAGCCCTCTGTACATGCTCAGGGGAACACATCATAGGGCAGGACTCCTGAGGGAGGAGAAAAGAAGAAGAGATCTGGGGGGTAAATCCAAGCGATGCCGGTCCGGCGAGGGCATCCTTTAAAGCCAGGTTCATTTCCCAGACAAGAGGCGGCAAAATTGTAACGATAAGTGGTAGAAACGGTGGCTTCCCAGGGGGAAGGGGGGCCAACGCGATAGGGTTGAAGATGGCCTTTCAACGTGCCAGGAAACACTGGAACAGCTGTGGAAGATGACTTTATCCAGGGCACATCAATATGGCGATGTCTCCAATTGCAATGTGGGTTGAGGTCAGGTGAGAGGTCATCATCGGCAAACAGCGTAAAATAGGGTTTCAAGGCGTTGGTGTCTCCTTGGGCGAAGACGAGGCAGCAGAAGAGCACCAAGGTCGAACGCAAGAAATCAAAGAAGTTGGACCCTTCCACTGTGGATCTGGAAGCAACCTGTAAGACACTAAAGGACGCTGCAATACTTCCTCCTTCCGGAAATGAAGTTCAGCAGGCGTAAAATTCCTGTTGCCAAATAACCAGGGTGACCAATATGTGATCTAAGATGTGCTTCAGAAAATTGACAAGTCCTGGCCTGTATCAAAGATGGGGCACTTTGTGCTGGAGTGACATTGCTGTGCGGTAGATCTGCACTGCGCACGAAAATGGTCCACTTTGCTACATCCAAAGCAGGTTTTATCCTTTGCAGGATTCTGGGGCACGGTGGAGGACAAAGCCGTGGCTAGCAGGCGAGCTTTGTGCATCTCAGTGCCCACTGACTGGCAGGCTTTAAGCACATCTGCAATGGCTATATTGGGAGTTGTCATCAAAGGGCGCAGCGCTTGCTTACAGTCCTCATTATCATACGCAAGCTGGCGGACAATCAGTTCTTGGGCTGCTACGTCCTGAACTTGCCGCTTAAGAGTGTTATCCAAGCGATCGACAAATTGTCCATAGGGCTTTGTAGGACCCTGTCTGATGCTGCCACCGCGCTCATTCTTGTCATCAGGAACAGAGGACAAAGCTTCTTGGGCGGCAGCAGTGGTAGCTGTCCAATACATGGGATCAAGGGCCAACTGTTGGGCAATAGTAAGAAAATTGCTTTCGCCAGTTAAGCCATTAGGAACATCAGTTTGGTTCAGCATAACAGGGGCTGGGGGTGCAGGGCCATTGTCCTTGACAGAAGAAGACAGTTCCTTTATGAATCTCAAATCAAACTGTTCGTGCCGGGCTGGGCCTCCCCCTGGGGCGGCAGTAACAATCACAGGGAAGAGATTAGGAGTTGTACAATCAAAAGCCAACAACGGAGCAGCGGCACGGAGAGATTCTTGGAGAGGAGTAGTAGAAGCGGTGCCAGAGGCCTTGGGCGCAGGAGGTGGAAGAACGGGGGGTGCTGCAGAATTTGAAGAATGCAGGGGAGTGACGGGAGAAGCCGGAGGGAGAATGTCCGGCGGTTTAGGAGGTATGTTTGAGGCAGGCAAAGCGGGAGCTGGGAGGGCGGGCGAAGAAGCTGTTGCGGCAGCCAGAAGAATGTTTGAAGGAGTTAAGCACGACATAGCTTTGTAGACGTTACTCCAGGCGTGCAAAACCTTGACATCAATCTGAGGATGATTTTGAAAGAAGTGTCCAATTTTTTTCCAATCGTCTAACTCCCAATTTCCGTCCTGGGGGAACCAGGGGCAGTGAGTGTCCAGGGCTTTTATAAGGGACTTAAGGTCAGCTTTCCGAACAGCAAGGTTGTTACTGGCCAAAAGGAATTTAAGGTCTTTAAAAATTTTTTTCTGTGGTGCAGAGAGAGATTTTCCCATGATTGCAAGAGTTGCAAAAAGAGCAGGGAGCACTTACCGGAGGGATCCGTAGGAGGATGAGGAAGGCGCCTTTTGCCCTGTCCGGGCGGAGATAAGTGCTGATAAGTCCGTAACGTAGTCCAGAATCACATTCACACGGGAGCTCTCACCGGGGATCCACTACGTGGATGAACGACGCGTCTGCAGCCCTTCCGGGCGAGGTGAGAGCTGAACGTTGTACACACGGGAGCACTCACCAGGGATCCACTACGTGGATGAACGACGTGTTGGTGAGTGCTGAATAATGAAAAACAGGCAGTCACACGGGAGCACTCACCAGGGATCCACTACGTGGATGAACGGCATGTTGGTGAGTGCTGAATAATGAAAAACAACGTGAAGTCCGAAGGCAATCACACGGGAGCACTCACCAGGGATCCACTACGTGGATGAACGACGTGTTGGTGAGTGCTGAATAATGAAAAACAACGTGAGGTCCGAAGGCAGTCACACGGGGCACCAATTGTCGAGTTGCAGCTCGGCATCCAGAGGAAAATCAGTCTCACACCATGATAGGTTCCGAAATATGGCTGCTCCTAGGGCTAATGCAGCACAGCTTTTATTGTGTGAAATAAGAAAGATACAAAAATACAAGCTAAGCAATTTGTTCTAGCAAGCAGATAAAGACCTTCGTACTAGACCATGCGAGTGATCAGGCCATGCTACGTTAGCCAATCATATGGGACAGCACGAGCTGTTCACGCGCTGTTCATGCTCCAAGGATGCTTCTAGCTATGAAATCACCCTGTAACAATAAGAACTTTGCTCATGCTCTCATGTACAAGCAATCATTTTCCCACACCTGTCCTTTGATAAGTCCTTCAATTAGAGGACTGCTCTCTGTAACATAGGAAATGCGGCCAACCCAATACACACAGAGATGTGCCCACTGCATAGGCGTAACCAGGATTTTTGTTAGGGTGGAGAACTTCAGTTAGCCTACTGTAATGCTGCTCTCTGGAAATTAATAGGGGAGCCATTGTAGGCAGGTGAACCCCACAGGCATTTTGCAATTCCTAAAGTTGTTATCAACAGTTGGAAGACAGGAAGCTGCCTTATACCAGATTAGACTATTGTTCATTTAGCCCAATACTCTTTACTCTTGGCTGGCAGTAGCTGCCTAAGGTCTCATTCGGAGGTCTTCCATACCATCTATTAGCCAATTCTTTTAAACTGGATTTCTGCCTGCAAAGTGCATCCTCTTCCACTGAGCTACACCTGTTTAGCATTTTATTATGAACTTGCCCTTTGAGAATACAGTTTTTTTCAGGCATGTTTTCTACCTCAAGTTAAGAGCAAAAGGTGGGTTGTGTTTTTTTTGGTATAGTATTATTTTCTACGGCTTTAGTTAAATTGTTTTTCTTGTTATCTTGCCACCCTGATCAACTTTTTAAAAACCATGCATGAAAAGACACAAGCTTAACGTTTTCCTCCAGCATCAAAAACTTGGTACTAACATGGCCAGCATCCTGCATTTCCTCCACTTCATTTCTTAAGCTATCATAGATGTGACTGCTGATTATTTCATGACTAAAGCTTGTTAAGTTTTTCATTTTAATTTCCCATCTTGTTTCTGGCACCAGGGTGAGAAAAGAACCTTTCTTGTACAGTTTGCCAAGTCATTTGGACTGAGTGAGGACACAACATGTGTGCAAGAAACAGCCAGCAGTGACATGTTTGAATGTGTGAATGGAATGAGGCATTCCATACTGCCAGGTGATAAAGTGCTGGCACCCTGGGAGCCACAGCAAAAAAGATATGGCCCTGGCACTACCATCCAAGGCATGGAAACCAGGGATCCCTTGAGAGGTAAAACCCAATTTGTTTATTTTTTAACATGAGCCAGTAGCTGAACTAGCTTTTTGTGTGTATATGTATAATATAGCCCTGAACATAGGAAGTGCAGTATGCTCCTGTGGTTTTCATTTACTCTTCGTATTTCATTTACTATTAAATTATGCATATGGTGGAAAAACACTGCTTATGTCAAAGCTCTGGTGAATATTTTTTTTAAACCCTCAAACAGGTATTTAATTATTATGCATACCTTCTAGACTGGAATATATAGACCACCCTTTTGTGGCTACATAATCAGATTGATTTAAACTGACAAACTATTATTAATCAGATTGATTTAATCTGACAAACTATTATTAGCATTAGCTTTGCTCCTTTGGGAAGAAGGGCAGAATAGATTTTTTAAAATAGATATTTTCTTTAGACAATTAAGCATTAAGATATATACATGTAAAAGATCACATACACAAACAAACAAACAATAAAAACACCACAGCCCCAGTCCCTTTCTTAAAATTAGGATAGAAATTTAATAAATAAATTGAGGAGAGTGATGGCTTTCCCCAGTTTATATTTTTCTCTTCAAAACAGGGAAAGAAGATGAAGAAATTATAGTCAGCTTCTGGAATGGCAAGAAAGCCCAAGTCCCATTGGGTGTAGCCCTGTGGATTTCCCCAGTACAGTGGGAGAGGATTGTGGAGATGATCCGGATGCCCCTTACCAGTAGGAAGGCATCTGAAGGGCAACTCCAAAGACCTGGTCACTACAGTGGCTCACGTAGGGCTATAACAGGCTGCATGCATGGATGTGCTGTAGGTGGCCTCTGCCGGCTCCAGAGGCCATGTTGCTCTTTCATCTCCCCTTGCTCCAGGTGCTTTCAACACACATGCTCATTCCTTGGACATCCACAGTACGCTTCCTGCTGCTGCCCTAAATACAGTGGCTGCTGGTGGCCACCCTCTTTAACTGAACCATCCCAGAGAAATGTTGAAGAAGAGTTCAGCAGTAAACCATTACTGGCAGTGGAAGGGCCTCCAAAGGAAGAACCAGCCACTGTTGTGTCCAGCTCTTCTTCTTCTTCATGCTCCTCCAGTTCCAGACGTGGTACAGAAACAGGTTTGACCAAGACCACAATGGTAGATCATGCAGTGAACACGGATTCTAGTCTTTTTGAAAAGCCCAAACTGCAAGAAATCAGGAGACCTTGTTGGAAATACTGGAAGAGAAGCCATCCCAGCTCTCGTCATAACAGCCACGGTACACAATATTTCCTTTGAATGAGCTTCAAAGTGGAAGGTAGAAGAGTGTCAAAAACTACCTGGCATTATCATACTGGTTGAGGTGAACAGCTATACTGAGATTGTTTTTTCTGCTAATGGTATCACAGATACTAACATACTTGGGGATTTCTGGTTTGTTAACTGTGTCTGTTTGTTTGTTTTGTGTGTGTGTGTGTGTGTGTGTGTGTGTGAGATGAAAAGCACTTGAGCGTTTTTTTTATTTTTACAATCAAGTGGTGTATAAATTTTATGAAATAATTTGCATGAAGTAGAAATATATATTGAGTCAAATCATGAGCCAAAACCCCCTACAGTTGTCTCCAATTGCCTTAACAGAAGAGAGGGATGTTGAAATAATAAATCATGAGGGGGGGGGAACCCCAAAAACACTCGGTTCCCTTGTTTGATTATTTTGTCTTCGTCTAACTACTCACAAATTAAGTGTTATACTATCATGTATAGGAACCAGTTATACTTTGGACAGCACCTGCAGAAAGGAAAGATCCGAAACCAAAGCAGTTCCTTATATGGATCCGTCCCCAACTGCACTGATCAACCACAGTGCCATGTTTGAAACTATTGAACAGTCTCCTCGAAGGCAACTTACTGTGAAGGAAGTCTTGGGTCACAAAGACATCAAACCATCCTCAGGAGGAGAGCAAGGAACACAGTAAAAAATAAAAGAAAAAAACCACCCTCCACTGAAAGCATATGCTTGTTTTTAGTTCTACTTTTTTTGTGGGTCCACAAGAATATATTAAGAGATTTAGGATAATGATATTGGATCATTAGCATCTAATAAATTATATATATGGTAATTTCCCCAGCAAATTAACAAGTGTTCTCTTGTTTTAACACTGGATGGGCCCTAGAGGAGATCAGTGCATCTAACCACAGTACAACAGAAAATTCAAATATATTTTGAAGTAACTGTTTTTGGATTTTCGGGACCAGCCAGGTTAACAAAAAGGGAAGTTGTTGTTGTTGTTGTTGTTGTTTAGTCGTGTCCGACTCTTCGTGACCCCATGGCCCAGAGCAAGCCAGGCACTCCTGTCTTTCACTGCCTCTCGTAGTTTGGTCAAACTCATGTTTTCCAAATGAATAAATATGCTCTGTTAGCAGCAAAGCATTTTAGTTTAGGATTCGACCACCAATATCTGTGACTGACTAAATGGTGCACTCTGCGGTTACCTGGAACTACGTAACTAAATAAGACTCCCCTTTCTATTCTGTTGATTTCATTTCAATAGCCTCTGCCATTACATTAGCAGTTCCTTCGGAAAGGCAAATGACAAAGAATTTAAAGTCTTTTCAAAAACATTTGCACTTTTAAATTTATTGTTTACAAGGCATTGCATAGTATAAAAGTGAAAATACACATGATTCAAGTTAGGGCAAATGTGAACAAAGTTTCTCACTATAATATACAGACAGCATAAAACCTGAGATCATATTTAATTATATAGGGTAAAAAGCCTGAGAAAATTTTATTTAAAAAGTGACACTTGAAAGACACCAAAATCTATTTCATTTGTTACCTTGATGAAACAGAAAGACTATCTGTCATAAATCAAAGGTCAAATTTACGCTTTCTCCTGACCGAACATCTACCAGATGTGTTTGTTTGACTGTGTTGTCATACGAAGAGGCAGAGACTGTGTAGGTGCCAGGAGAAACTTCAATGTAGATATCCTGAATATAAAATATACAAGTCAAGATTTTTCAAATCAAAACCCCATTCATGTTCTTATGCTAAATAGCTCCAACTACTAAAATAAATAACTATTTGGACAAAAAATCTCTCATCAAATTTCTTAACCACAGCATATGAATGCAAAGATGCAAAACTCAACTTGGCCTAGAAGACAACTGACAAGACCAAGAATGCTGGTGGTGAGAGAGGAAGAGAGTGGCAGCTCTGAGATGCTTAGACAACATTTGGCACCCTTGCCCTTGTGGTAATACAAAGGGATGCCATCCCCTTGGCTGACTGGTGAAGTGGGTTGCTCAATGAAGTGTTGTCACTTTAGGTGAGAGCTATGGGTGAGGCTGAATGTGAAAAGACACCTCTGGGTGAAAGCCAGGGGTATCTGGAGAGCAGCTGTCCAGGTGAGAGCATGACCGGTGGTTGGAGGGAGAGGCTCCCAAGCGTAAGTCAGGTGAATTGTATGTTTGGGTGGGGTATTTGGTGTCTGGATAACTGTAAGGACATCCTCCTCTTGTAAGATGTGCTGCTGGTGGTGTGAGATTTATATTTTTACATACTGCATAACCAGAGGGTGACTTATTGATTGGTTGTGTTTGGAAGTTTCCAAGGCAATTTGTGGGCAAAATTGCCTGCCTTCAAGACTTAGGACACCACAGTAACATCTCTGAGTGATGTGCCTGACACACCATCTAGTCAGCTTTTGTGGATCAGCTTGAGCTTGAGAATGTGGACTAAAGTAAAGTTCAGCTGGCCAAGTGCCCCCTTGACCTTTGTCCATCATTGCTTCCTTTGAGATAGCCAGGTGTGTGTGTGTGTGTGTGTGTGTGTGTGTGTGTGTGTGTGTAGAGGTGAGTCCAGGATGTGATAAATGTAGGACTACCATGCCCTAAACAATTTTGGTCCAGAGAGAAAACCTTCTCCCATACAGACCTGCATGGTTACTATGATCTAATAAAGTCTTCCTGGTTGTGCCACAGCCTGCTGAGGGCCATCCTGCAGCAGAAAGGGGGAGGGCCTTTTCTGTTATGGTGCCCACCCTTTGGAACAGGGCCCTCCCTACTGTACTTGGGTTTCCAGCACCTGCAAAAAATACATATCTTCTCCCAGACCTTTGCAGCTCATTAATACCAGATTGCTGTGTTTGTCCCATAAGACTCCTGTGGCTATTGCTCTAAACGACTAAACAACCACCACCTTTTTTTAAATGTAAGACAATATAAAGAAGTTTTAAGTAAATAAAATTATAAAATGAAATTACTGTAGCTAACAAAGAATTTTGATTATGTTCAGGAGCATGTCGGCTGATGGAGCTGGGAGGGGAAGTCACCATGGAGTGTGTTTGTGGGTTCCTCCATGTAAAAACCAATACCATTTCTTTCATTCCAGAAGCACTACGCATTCTAATTCATCGAGCAATTGAATGCCTGTGCGCCCTACACAGATTAAAGCAAACCCCACAAAAGACTTAAAATGTTAAGTGAACTTATACTTGCTTTTATTTTATGTTCAGCATTCTCTGCTGGAATTAAAGCAGCTGTATCTGTATCAGGACAACCAGGTTCTTCCACTATTGGGACATTTTTACTTTCCTAGAGAGAGCAGATATAGTTTATGGAATCTCAAGCTGGATGTGACCAAGTTCAGCCTATCCACCAGCCTCAAACAAACAGACCTAATCCAAATCAGCACAAAGTAAGTGTCAAGAAGGCGCCTGTAGCAGCTTTAGAGGCATACTTGGGGGGAGCAGGGGGGCAGACCGGGGACGGCGCTTACTGCGGGGCCTGCAGAGTGCCCGAGCCTCTCCTAGGAAGGATAATTCTGGAAGGATAGGATAATACAGTAGGAAGATGTCCACAGGAGGAGATGTCCATACTGATAACAAAATGCCCCTTAAGGCAATGCTGGAAAATTCTTCCAAATAAATTACAAATTTATATGTCATTTAGAAGATTAGCAGAGGCTTGGTTGAAGCGGCATCAAGAGACTCCTTTGAGTAAGCTGACCCTTGGACAACATATCTTTGCTTAAAATAGGGATGGCTAACCTGTGGCCCTCAAGGTGTAATTTGGGGGCTGGGGGCTGCAGTTTAGCCATTCCTAGCTTAAAAGGAGAATTATGTTGAGTACACTCACCTCATTTTCAAATGCCTTTAGCAAGTTTTCAGATGACTCCCTGCTGTGGTATCTGAATATATGTGCAACTTCGTACTCTTTGAACTGAAATGGTGGTACGCAACAGTAATAGTTCTGGAATAGAGTTGAAGAAGAAAATATTACTAAACCAAGAAGTATGTGTGGCGCTAAAATAATGAAATGTCTTAATGTGGGCCTGCCCCATGAAGATGTGAGCAACAATTCCCTCGTCTCTGCTGCCACCAGAAGGACAAATGTGAAAGGACTTTGTCAGACAGAAATGCCTGTGTTTGGTACTGTAAATCAGGGGTTAGGAACCTGTGACCTTCCAGATGTTGCTGGACTACAGCTGCCACCATCCTTGACTATTGGCCATGCTGGCCAGGACTGATGGGAGTTGGAGTCCAAAAACATCTACAGGGTCACAGCTTTCCCATCTCTGCTGTAAATAAGATGACTAACTCCTCCTCCCGCATTCTACTCTATGTGGTTGGATCCCTTTCCTGACAATGGGAAATTGGGATGTCCCTTGATTCATATTTGGCCCACGCTAATCACTGCCCTCAGAGCAAGCGCTGGGAAGTGTTGGAGTAATTAAGTAAGTGTAGAAATTGGTACTGTGAAGTCAGAAGAAGCCCACAACCCTAAGAAATGTCAAAATGAAAGCCCTGCCAATAACCCCACAAAAGTTACTAGCTTGCAAAGAAACTTAACAGCCTGTTTCTCCATGTTGGCCATGGAGGCAGGAAATCCCAGAAATGCAGGCTTCAGCTCTCAGCAGGATAGTAAGAAAAAGCTTGCCTCTTCTGCCAAGCTGGCCAGTGGAGGGGCAGATTGCTCCATTCCTCTTCTGCTAGCCCACTGTGGTCCCATGCTGACTAGGGAGAAAGTGTCTTTCCTCTTTCTACAGCTATCACAGTAGCTATACAGGCTATCAGAGGAGGAACAGGCTGATCTTGCATTGACTTTCTAGCTGCAAGAGCCTTGTTAAATACAAGGCTGAGATAAAATATGCCTGAATGTCGGCTTGAAAGTGTGTGGTCAACACCTGGTGAAATCTCTGAAGTCTCAGGGAAGATGGAGGGCTGGCTAGGTAGGGTTCAATACTAAGCATGGCTCCTTACCCCTCCTCTTTCGTGTTAGACATGATAAATGATTTATGGGAATGGGGAAATCCTGAACATTTCCACCCTGTCAAAGGGATCTCTGAGGAAGCTGACAAAGATACTCATGGAACAGAATCCAGACTTGCTTGATGGCGATTTTGTGTTCCTTCAGCCCATTGAGTTTTGATAATTCAACACAGTATAAACTAGTATTTCCTAAAATGCAGTTGCAATAAAGCCTTAATATGGCTTGCTGGTAGAATTCATGCTTTGCACGCACAAGGTGTCAGATTCAATATCCGGGTGGAGAGACCCCCTGCCTAAATCCCTGGAGAGCCACTGCCAGTCGGTGAAGACAGTACTGAGCTGCATCGACCAATGGTATGTAAGGCAGCTTCCTATGTCCCTAATAGTTGTCACTCAAGCTTCTGTACTTGACTCCCAGCACAGCAG